GGGAAGATGTGATTGTGTGACCTTCTGGCACTGTGTGGGAGTGTCTGTAATGATGAGTGTGATATCACGTTATGTCATATGATATAGGCTCAATTTCCATAATGTTTTTTTTTCGGTCATTGGCCCAGCCTCTTCTGCTACTCAAAAGCTAAACATTATCAAGAAGCCTTCGTTGAAGTTGGCTTTGCCGCACTAATTTAACTTATGTGACAAAGCCAGCTTTCTTTTTTGTTGTTGTTGCCCAGTTTCAATTGAGTTTTTCGGCCTTCATCTCAGTATCTTTGTGTGTGTAACTACTTCAGTACAGAATAGATAACTGTATAGAATGATTGGCTCACACACACACACACACACAAAAAAAAACTCTATTCGTCGTAATGACTACATACAATGGTCCGAATATATATGTACGAAATACTCGTAAGAAATATATAGCAATTAACCATCATACCTCTGCAGTCTATGAATGACAGACAGAAAAATATGGCTCGCCAGCAAGATTTTAAAAAAAGAAAAAAAAAAGCAATTGCATGTTTACAACCAACACATTAGTTAGAGTGGTGAATTTCTCATCCTATGCCGTGAATGTGATGGTTTGACTTATTGGCAGATGCTTAGCTGACTGTCACCACACGAAATTCCCTATCGCGAAAAAAAAAAAAACTAAAACATTATGCACGTTTTGTAACAGCTTCACCACAGTACAAATATGTAGTGTAAAAAGCATAGACGGTATTTATATTATTTTTTTTTATTTACAAATACTGCTGGCCAGAGGCCAAAGCAGGAGGGGCAAGATAATACAGTTGTCATACACATTTCAAAACAACATCAACAATAAAGAGAGTAAAAAGTGGAACGCGTGGCATATTTATGCAAAAGCAACAAAAGGAAAAAGTGGGGAGGGAAAAGAGGAAATAGTTGGAACAACTTCAAATTTCAGCGTAAATAAAATCGGGAGAGTGTAAACTGCTTGCAGGCAAATCGTTCCACTCTTCAATGGTACGAGGAAAGAAGGAAAATTTGAACAAGTTAGTACGAGCAAAATATGGTGTTAAAGAAAGTGCGTGTTAATGCCGAGTCTGGCGTGTTCTTAGCGGTGTGAGGTAGGGGTCAGGGTTCCGAGCAAATTTGCGGTTTGAAAGTTGGTACAAAAATTTGAGACGTAAGAATCTGCGTCTCGACTGCAAAGATGTGATACCATTTGAAAGCATTACACTAGTTACAGAACTACCAGGCTTGTAAAGAGAATAAATGAAACGAACTGCCCTCCGCTGAATTTTTTCTAATGCATCAATGTTAGTTTTAGTATAAGGATCCCAGGCAACGCATGCATATTCTAATTTAGAGAGAATCAAGGATTGGTAAGCTAAAAATTTCACTTTCGCAGGAGCATCCTTAAGTTTGTGCCTTAGCATGCATAATTTGCGGAAAGCTGCGGAAGAAACTTGTTTAATGTGGGAATTCCGACTTAAATTATTCGTTAGAGTGACACCAAGACACTTGTGTTCCTTAAATTATTTAAGAGGTTGGTTAGAGAGCGTGTAGTCAGTTAGTACTGGCTTTTTCTTGTTAGTGACACGGATCAGAACTGATTTATCCAAGTTACATTTCATCCCCCATTGATTGCACCATAGACATATATTGTTTAGAGTGGACTGGAGAGCTGCTTGGTCATTAGAACTAGTTATCGAGTTAAACAGAATACAATCATCTGCAAAAAGTCGAACGTTAACAGGTGGGTATACACAATTTACTACATCATTATAGTATATCAAAAATAGTAGGGGACCGAGTACACTGCTCTGAGGGACACCTGAAGTAACCGGCAGAAGAATTGAGTTCTGATTATTAATGCACACAAACTGGGAGCGATCAGACAGGTAGTTACAAATCCAGTCTGATAGAAAATTTGGAAGTCCAATAAGCTGTAATTTAACCATAAGTTTATCATGGGAGATGCAGTCGAAAGCTTTGCAGAAATCTAGGAATATGACGTCTACTTGGCCGCCCTTATCAATCACAGATGCAAAAAAATGAATGACTGTACCTAACTGAGTTGTTGTCGACAAGCCCTTTTGAAAACCATGCTGATACGGAGATAAAAAGTTATGCTCATCTAGGTGTTTTGATATGAATGTTGTGACAATGTGTTCTAACATTTTGCTACAAGACGATATAATCGAAATTGGCCGATAATTGAAGACAAGAAAAGGGTCTCCCTTTTTGGGAATTGGCTTGACACGAGCCATTTTCAATTCTTTAGGTAACGTTGTAGTACGGATTGAAGCTTCAAAAATTGTAACAAAGTATTTGGACAAGGGCACGGCATACTGTCGAAAAAATTCGTTCAGTATTCCTTCTGGCCCACCGGAGGATTTTACTTTAGTAAGAGTGGTGAGTATAACGAGGTGGTGAGTATAACGAGGTGAAGGGAAATAATAATTTAGGCAAGAACTAAGTGTGCACAAATCGTAATTATTTAAAATGCATTCGCAGCTTTAAGACGCCGAAGATGAAATGGACACACTAAAGCATGCCCATGCATGAACTTATCATATGTTGTAGGCCCGTGTACTCAGATTTGGGTGCACGTTAAAGAACCCCAGGTGGTCGAAATATCCGGAGCCCTCCACTACGGCGTCTCTCATAATCACATGGTGGTTTTGGGACGTTAAACCCCACATATCAATCAATGAACTTATCATTGGGTATAAATCCAAAAAAATAAATGTTGTGACAGCTAGAGGCTGACCGTCCGCAATAGCCAACAGCCCCTCTTCCACACCCCAGCATGTTTTGAACTCGAGGTCATCAAACTAAAGAATGCCATGGCTTCAACTTTTATACTATCGCTCGCTGCACCTGGGGGGCGCTGAATATACGTGGCTGTGGCTTGTGAGGGCTTCTCCTGAGAATTCAGTTAGCCATTTTTTACTTTCATTTTCGCACTCTAAGTAGTCTCCACGCAGTACATATTTCTGTTGCGGTGAAACTTAGAAAAACATTTATTGATTGATTTGTGGGGTTTAACGTCCCACAACCATCATATGATTATGAGAGACGCCATAGTGGAGGGCTCCGGAAATCGCGACCACCTGGGGTTCTTTGACGTGCACCCAAATCTGAGCACACGGGCCTACAACATTTCCGCCTCTATCGGAAATACAGCCGCCACAGCCGGGATTCGAGCCCGCGACCTGCGGGTCAGCAGCCGAGTACCTTGGCCACTAGACCACCACGGCGGGGCAACTTAACTTAGAAAAACACGTGTGCCATAACGCACGCAAGACGTTAGCTAAAGGAACTTGATTGAAATGAATACAGAATGGAAAAAAGGCCAATGCAACCACAAGTTCAGGAGTTAATATATGCGTATCAACAATGAAGCGTGTAAGTTAGTCTCACCTATTCTTTAGCTACAGTTAACTTGAAAGCAAGAAGGGGGCAATAATTTCGCAAGCATGAAGCGCACGCGTCTTTACCTCTAAAACTCTGCTGACTCGAACATATTGCGAAGCACAGCAAAGGGGTCAGCTGACTTTTTTGTTTCAAAGACCGCACACATCTAGATGCATGCAACTGTTGGAGTCGTGTTGATGTACTTGTCTTCAACTTCACTTAGTGTGCAACATCTTCGTTTTATATATTCATTTCGACTGACTAAACATTAAAAAAATGCGTAAAAGAAGATGATGCTAGCACGCACATTTAAAGCTACTAAACAGAACATTTTTTAGGTAGTAGCCTCCATAAAACTATGCAATGAGAGAAATATTAGCAAACGAAAAAAAAAAAAACTTAGGACAGCATCAACAGTGCTACTTAGGTCTTTCACATTCATAAATTTGTCTCGAATAAACATCTCTCGGTGATTAACTAATTATAGGCACAGAATACCAGTTGCGTGTCTTCTAAAGTCCTGTTTTCAAACTGCGTTTTTAGTTTTAGGGAGCTTGATTGATAAGAATAATGCTAAGAAGCGAAATCGCTCTGACAGTATACTACAGAAGCATTGGCAACATTCTTGCTGGAACCACAACATCTCACCAGGAGTAGAAAAATTTATAGTGTGTAACCCCGCTAGCCATGAATTATGTAGTGAGGCCTTATACAGCTCTTAAACCAATTAATACGAAGCATTTCTTAGCGTACTGTAAGCACTTTTGACATCTATCTGTGTATCTATCTAACCACTAACGTCTGGGTGCTCTCGGGATAAACCCCTTAACTGGCATGGACCAAAATTAGTATAAGGGGGGTTGTAAGATGGTATGAAGAATTTGAAGCGCTGGTCAACATATGAATAACGTCACAATTTCATCGCATACGTCGTCAAACACTTCCCTCCAAACAGTGGTCATATATCCGCGGGCGGGTATGTGCCACTGGTATACGGGTATGGTCCACATGTGATATAAACTTAGCATCTAACCGGGAACGACGAGAACACACATGCGCAATTTTAACGCATGAGCGTTAAGAAAAACCCGACAACGGCGGCGTTGACCCAACAATTGCAAAGAATTAATGTCATGGTCACAGCAGAAATCAAACCGAAGCATAATGCGTGGCAATCAAGCATTCTACCAGAAAGCCATACCAGGCCTCGGAACTGCTTTTGAAATTGACGCTAATCTTCGTGAAACGTCAGTTGCAGTGCTGATTACCTGATTTTATAAAGCCCATATATGTACTCTCTTGACACAGCCGTCCCGTCAACTGTAGTCGGGCGCCATGCTCTGGGGTTGCTTTATGTATATGTATGGGTCCATGGCTACCCCCCTCGCATGCACCAGTGCTTCACATCAGCTTATCACTCCTGGTGTTGCTAATACTCATGTTTGTGTTGAATTCGTTTCGCAAGTGCAAAATGGTTATATAAACATTAGCAATTCTTCAAGATATGTCTGTGCGTGCAACATTTAAAAATTTATACAGTCACGTGACAATATTTTAAGCGTAATTTTATGACTTGCTGCTGAAAAATGAACTACAACATGGTCACCACCCCTCCGCATGCTTCGCTTAACGTCGATTTTCAAGGTACGTAGAATGTGCCGAATGTTTCAAAAAAAAGACAAGTCAATTTAAAAAAAAAAAGCAGCATTAGTGCATATGAAGACATGCCATGTTTTAAACTCTACTGTGACGACGAATTATCAACACCCATAATAAAACGCGCAAAGAACGAAAGAACTAAACTTTATGGCAATAAATCCGCTTGTTACTTAGCATTGTGTATGTTTGGGCTGGCTGGCAGTTCATAATTTTCCTTTAACAAATTTCTTAAACAAAAGGTGGAAAGAACTAATTTGTCTATAGCATTTATTTTGCACCTTGCTAAGGAAGTTTTTATGCTAACAAGAAATAATGAATTGCTATTCTTCAGTGTCAAACAAAGATAAATTAACGACTGAGTGCAAGTCAAGATATGTCCAATCAGCAGGCGTGGCGTGCCATCCCAGACGAGGGGTCAAGTGTGCCCGCCCATGCATACACAGGGTATACGCGCACAACGTGAACAACTAAGTAAATACTATATACACGGTTGCGGGCAAAGAACATGTCTGGTTCAGCTTTGCCTCAAGACACCCTGTGGGAAGAAAGAGGGTAACTTTCGAGGCAATAATTAGAAAACATCATATCGATAGATCAGTGCATCCTCAAGTGGCAGCTCATGAATACAGAGGTACAGAATTCTTTCGTTTTGGCTTTTGCTGATACTGTGTGAAGTAACCTCGAAGACAGGCAGTTTCGTAAGATTCTAGTGTAATTCTCCCGTCGCCCCTACTGCAGGAAGCAAGGGCTCCCGGCTGTCGTACGCTTCGCTTTCCGGCGAAGGGCAGCAGTCCGACCTTTCCCTGGCCTCTCCCAAGGTGGCCAAGGGCATTCTGCTCTCCATCCGCGTGGTGAACCCCGACGAGAGCACGGGCCAGCCCACGTACGCGGCCCAAGTGCCCATCCACTTCTCCGGAGGACGCGTCACCACGGGGCCCGTCGTGTACGGCCGCGAGCAGCCATGCCCCGAGGACCACGTGCACGGAAGCAGGCAGCTGCAGAGCATCGTGGGTGGCTACTCCGGGCGCGGGTCGAGGGGTAGCCCCGCCTACTCTCCAGCCCACTACCAGAATGCGCTGTCGGACACCAAAAGCTACAGCGTCAGCCAGCAGATCCAGGTTCGTTTCTTTTCTATTAGTAGTATTGGCCAAACTTCGAACGCCATTCTAGCAGTATGCATTCGGGGGCTAGAGCAATATAACGGAATAATAATGAAAACAAGGACGGCGCATACAAATTGGTCGCAAGGAAATTGAACCTGCAAGGTTAGTTGGACGTGGGTAATCCTCACTAGACATCGATGCAATGTCACCAGTGATGCCTTAATGCATTCATTAGTAACTCGATGGATGTATTACCAGGTATGATTACTAAATTGGGCAACGACAGCAAAAAAGAAAATGAAAATGACATGCGTAAATGTATTAAGGGAACCTTAAAGACGATGGAGGCGGAAATGTTGTAGGCCCGTGTGCTCAGATTTGGGTACACGTTAAAGAACCCCAGGTGGTCATAATTTCCGGAGCCCTCCACTACAGCGTCTCTCATAATCATATGGTGGTTTTGGGGCGTTAAACCCCACAAATCAATCAAACCTTAAAGAGTAGGACGACTTTAAAGAAATGGACGCGATGGCGATATTCTGTCTCGAGTGCGTATTGAGTTCAAGATTGCTTGTGTCAGTGAAGCTTTCGCATACGGCGGCATTCTGTGTAATTAGTAGCATGCTTTAGAGCACGTGCAATTGTGCACGTGAAGTATTTTCGAACTTGCTAAGCATGCACGACGTGACCTGAAGGGAAAAGGCTCGGTAACGTGTGTGCCTTTTGTTGAAATTTGTTTTCCATAAGGAACACGCGACTTATTTCAAGTGGACTGCGAGTGTACGTGCAGGCACGTGGCGGCCTCGCACAAATGTCCCGCTAACTGTACGTGGCTCACGATTCTCAAATCAGTCAATGGTCTTAGTCTCTGGGCTTATGGCGCCTTCATTTTAGCTTGACATTCCTTGTCAAGACAAGAGGGGGCGATATCCAGCTTACTTTGAGAATTTATTGCGAATGCCAGGCTGCGTGCCGTGCTATAGTGTCTGGCTCAAGAGTTCTCAGAAACCTCAAAATAACGATCTGCAGCGTCATATAAAAATGCTCAAAAGCTGTTTTTGCAGGATGCCTTTGAAACAGTTCTTGATGTTCACCGCAAAACAACGACACTAATTTACGACTACGAGTCGTGGTTGGAATGAAGGATGCATTTCTGACCCCCAGGGTTTCGTTAACGCGCGCGTAAATCACAAGTGGGTGTTTTAGAATTTCGCACCCATCAAAATGTAGCTATAGTTGACACTTGTTTAGCCTCCCATCCCCTTCCCCCGTTATTTTTCGAATTCTGTTTTCCAACCTAAAGAAAACGTGCATGTTTGGTGTTCTTTCTTATGAGATGAGATATTCGCAGTTGACCAGACGAACCATACAATATTCCTGTTTTCAGGTTGGCGTACCGAGCACTGCCAAGACGTACCAGTACCACGGCCAGTCTTATGCCGTTCCCGTGAGTGCCGTTCCAGCCACAGCCTCCCAGGAGGATACCAAGTCGTACGTTGCATACGCCGGTCAGTCGGCGGGCGGTGCCCACTACCAGCAAAGCTACCAGGTCGCCCAGGCTCCGTCGGCCGCCTACCAGAACGGCGCTGTCGGTGACGGAAAAGGATATCCAGGAGCCGCTTACGCGCACGGAGGACACGCTTACCAGGTGCGCTCCTGTCTATGCCGTTTAAGGGGCTGCTCACAAGGTACCCAAAATACAAAAAAAAGAGCGCAATATTCTTTCTTGACATTTCTGGTCCTTCTTGGCGCACTACTGTGACGTAGACAGCAGTTCCCGTCACGTCTATTGCGTACATGCTGTCGATTCGTTGATGTACGTGAAATATCACTTGTGATTTGTCTCCTGCACTGCTTTGCCGTGCAGCCGCCCATCCGTTCTTCTTTGTCCCGCATGAATATTGTGCACAATCAACCGATCGAACTTCGTTTTTTGAGTGTACAACTGTGCAAGCGGCGATAACAGCGTGTAGCCGAGAAGCGCGGCGAAATCCTGGTAGGCTCTAGCGCTTAGTGCTGATATTGTTCACGTGCATTAAAGAACTAAAAGGGGAGGAGGACGCATTGTGGGTATGAAGGAAAGCAGAAAACTACCCCCTCTTCTTTAAACGTGGGGTGGTGAGTGGCATTTTATGGACCCTAAACCACCTTTGAAAAAAAAAAAAAAAAACGAAAACCGGGTGCTCTCCCGGCGTTGCCCGTCTTTGCGACAAAATACGAGACACCAGAAGTTTGTTCACATGTCGTAACAATAAAATACGTTCTCGATTAATTGATATAGCAGGGGTATCTGTGGTGAATTTTTTCATACACTGCTTTGTCATGCCCGTTCTGCTTTGTCTCGCGCATGGCTATCGTGTGCGATCAACTGATTTTGCTTCGTTTTCGGTGTTAAGCGAGTGTGCAAGTGGAGATAGCAGCATGTATACTCAGAAATCATGAAACCCTGACTGACTGAATGCTTAGTGCTGACATCTCACGAGTTTCTTGAAGAATCAAGTGGTGAGGAGCAGACAGTGCTCGTGGGAAAGGTAGTGAAGCCGATAAAGAATCTATCCCGCCTTTTAACTCCCGGGAGTTTGGGGGCCCTTTAAGACGCCCCTAAAAAAAAAAATCTCTGAAAATACTTACAACGAGCACATTATTTTTTTCTAGCATTTTCTGTCTTTCTGGCAAAATTCGTGACGTCAAAAGTCTGTTCACGTGAAATTATGAGTTCTCCATTGGGCAATAGAAAAGTAACATCCGGTGTGAATAGTCTACTAACCTGTATCCCATGCAGTCTCACGCCCATGCATGCTTTCTTGTCTCGCAGTTTACTGCACGTGGTCGACTAACTTCACTCTCGCGTCTGCATTACGCGCAACGCGTAATGCAGACGCTTCATGCCAATTTCCAGAAGAAATAAGTGGCGAGGAGGAGATGGCATTCGTAGAAAGAGTAATGAAGGTCAGAAATCACCCACTTTTTTCTCTCTGAACTAGGAATGGTTCAGGGGCCCTTTGAAAATATGCAGTATTTCGATATTGATTTAAAGTTCTCATACTAATTTGCGAGAACAAGAATGCCTCATCTAAAATTACTGTCAACTGACATAACACTTCGTGTTACGACTTGTGGTTTTGTTTTAGTGTGTGCTTGGGTAGAAGGGAAAAGAAAGAAAGGAGCGGGAATATTGCCACAGGGCTTTATTTTGATCAAGACATCTTCAGAAGCTGTTTGTATCATTCTATGCAGGAAAAAAAATTGCACTAAACTCTAAAAAGACGCCACGAAACAGACACACGGTCTGTTCATGTTTCACCTGAGAGGGCTGTAGCAACGTTCGGCACAGACCGCGCCACAGTGTTTAGTGTACAGACCAACAGACCACGCCACAGTGTTCGAGAAGGTTCAGGGTTCATGAAGCTTATTTCATTAAGGTCGCGCATGCATCATAATTAATCAAGTTCATTCGAGAGGTTGCAAGAGCATCGGTCATAATACTGAAGGTTTCGTTGGTTTTACTCTATCAACAACGATGCGTTCTGTCGGTGATCACATTTCAAACGCCCAGTTCGCTGCTGTCAGTGTATAGCGTGAATTGCTTGTACTATCCGCGTCGAACAAAACCCGAACATCGGCAAGCCTTAGCGATGGTGTATACACGCCGTCCACTTATACGATAGACAGGCATGCATATAAGCGCAGAGCTGCTGAACAGGGTGTGCACGCCTGTCAATAATGATAACTGAATGGTGCGCACTATTACATCGCGAAGGCTTGCAGCCGTTTGGGTTTTATTTAACGCGAACAGTACCTGGCCATTTCATTTTTCTTAGCACATGTTTGCTCAGCTAAGTGGTTAGGTTTTGAACAAGCCGGCTGCTGCCTTCGTTTACGTCATGGCTCCGTCACAATTTTATGTTGTTTGTTTTTATCATGAAAAATAATGTATGTGCTATTTGTTCCCTGTGACAATTACCTCAGCAGTTATCTGCTTCCACATACAATAACGCTAACGGATAGTGCCAGAAAACCGAAATACTGCAAAGGAACCAATCTTTTCGTATCGTACAGTTCAACTGCGTAGGAGCCATATATATTCTATATTTATAACCTTGATTAATGATTTTAAGGAATGACTACATCGTAACATTGTCATAAGTTAGAGCCAACTCACGGCAGTATAAGACTTGTATGACCACCAGTCTCTCTGCTGACGCTTGTCTGTGCAGGTCGTCGCTCAAGGAGGTGACGGCCAAGAGCACGTCTATGTGACGGCCCATCCCGGCGCGCACGGCGGTGCCACGGCCGTCGCGCAGAAGAGCTACACGCCGTACGCAGTCCAGGACACGTACAGCGTCGAGGCGACGCCGGCCAAGTCGTACAGTGGTGAAACGGGAGCTTCGGGCAATGCCATCAACGGGCAACAGGCGTCGTACGAGGTGACCGACGGGGGCCACGGCAAAGGGGGATATGGAGCGGGTGGCCACACTGCGTACGCTGCTGCCCCTGGCTACGCCGGCGGACCGAGCTACGGTGGTGGTGGCCAAGGTGGAGCCAGCTACGCTGCCCTAGTAGGCCGGGGATACTCAGCTGCTGGGGGACCTAGTTACGGCAGTTCGGCTGGACCAAGTTACGGAGGAGCGGCCGGGTCGGCCGGTGGTGGATACGACAAACCCGCGTACCAGGTGGCGGCCGTTTATCCAGGCGCCCAGCCTACGTACGGTGTGCAACGCAGCAGCCTTCAAGGCAGCCGCCGCGGCGAAAGCATACGGAAGCTACGGAGGAAGCGCAAGAGGGGGAGGAGAGGAGCAGACCATCATCGTGGCCTCGGACGGGCCTGCCGGTGGAGATGGCAAGGCGTACGGGTCGTACCAGGGAGCGGCGGGACCGTCCTACCAAGTCACCAGTGTGGCGGCTCAGTCGTATAAGTCCGGACAACAGCCGCAGCAGCAGCAGTACGCCGGGCCTCATCAGCAGGCGTTTAGCCGATACCCCGACACCGGGTCCGGGTCGTATTACTCTGGAGCTTCGTTCGCGGAAGCCAACAGGCTCGCTCTGCAGAAGTACAATGCCCTCATGAGCCGAGCAGCTTCCATAGTTGGTGGCCCGCAAAATCTCAAGGCAGTTGCGGCGCGGATACAACATCCCCTGGAACTGGTAGGTATGCTCTATAGCAGTAGTCGCGCACGGCTTAGTTTACAAGGACGGGCATCACGTGCTTGCGAGTGCGGTTCATCACCTGCCTGTAAACGCAGTTCACATGCTTCAACAAGAAGCAATCATAAAGCGCGGATCTTTTTCACATTACAAACTGACTTGAAGTTGAACCGAGAGAGCTCCTTACTAATATTCATTTGGAGCAGTCACCCTTCAGGCGCTCTCTCGTTTCATTTTCATTTTTATCCGACAAAAAAAAAAAACAGAGAACGCGTGTACCCCTGAGATTTCACAGTTTTATGACACGATGCATGATGAATAACAAGTAATAATTTGGCTCTATAGTTGAATGTTATTTGAGTGTTACGGTATTTTAGAGTGAAAATTCAAACGTTATAGTATGATAATGCCAAGTCGTACTGCCATGTAACCGTTAACTTGAATAACGTTTCATTCGATGCCAGTGTTTTCATGGTAGTGTGATAAATGATCAGTGTTTTTTTAACATTCATGTTAAGCTAAAAGCTGTATGACGTTCCCCTTCTATTCTTCGCGGCAAATTTGGAAGCATGGTTGTGAAAGGCGCTGTTTACTCAGCGTACTATGTCGGAGCAATAGAAGTAGAGCCTCCAAGCGCCATTTAATCAGTGAGTCGTATGAAACAAAGCCCACCTAATCTCAATTTTTTCGGATTAGAAAGGGCAGAACGAAGTTCTTCACGAAACTATTTACTTTTTCTACCGATGTTATATCGCGATTCTGCTTTTTTTCTTTTTGACATATTTTCAGTTAGAGCTGCTATCCTCTACGACAGTGCTCACACGTGGAGCGTAAAGAATTGCATCTTTCTTACACTTAAATTTATCACTTTCTGTCAGCCTTTTCGAACGATTAACAAACGGTGAACGCGCCTTTCTTGATGAGTTTTCTGATAACCTTATTTTGTAACTTTGCCAGCATTTAAATGTCACCAGCTATGCAAAGTGGCATTATCTTGGTGCGTGAAATCGAATTATAGTTTTTTGGACTATCGTAGTTATATTCACACATTAGTAAATGTTTAGCAGAGCAGTGTAGATAGGGTTACGTAGTGCTCTGTCTGAAAATTGTGCGCTGCAGAGAACACTGCCTTGTGAGCCGTTTTTGGTTTACAGAACCAAGCTAACCAAATAAAGTGTCAATTTTAGACAATGAAGATCAGAAACGCATGTCGTAGATGATATACGATAAATTTAAACCCGGAAACGCAGCTGATAAACATAGTTGCAATCATAATGTATGAAAACGTACGAGTTTCAAAAGACCATGTAGCAAGTATCATGACAGACTCGAAGCAACACGATGCTGTTTTGCTCCTGACCCGAGAACTCTGATTGGAATTCTCACTCTTGGCTTCCTAGCTATCTTTTGCAGTTAGTCCCCTCAAAAAGTTGTCGATACTTAAATACAACATGAAACAATCAACAGCACGAAAACCAAATCATTCGAAGCTAAATTTTGCTTCTGAGTGTTGAACGCTGATGACGCAAACATATTTTCCACCATCGCTCTTTACCCGATATCATTTCAAGAGAGCTGCACCAAAGTGATTTACGGAATTATAGTTGAGTATCGCCTGGGCTTGTTTGTTCAGCCAATTATAGTCTGGACTTGATAATATGACAGCATTCAAACAGTCTGGTTAAGTTGGAAAATGTTTCTTTTTTTTCACCTGCTGCTGCCTGGCAGAGTCACAATTCGCCATAAATGTGACTAAATTTCAATGATGGACGTATTATAAAATCAAACGAGACTTTCTTTTTTAAAGTGTGAAATAGCCTGGTTAGTTTAAAAAGGTTCATGCAAAGTGCATTCATTTCCTATTGATTTAAGTGTCGAATACTTCTCATTATAGTGCTGAACGTAATAAGGGTTTCTTTTTTTTTTTTCGAGGGGCTTGTTTACATGTTAGGATACGACCAAATGAATTGAACAGACAGACCAGGAAAACATAGATGACGTTATTTGTGGTATTCAACTGTTGCGTACCAAGTTTGACATAGACTGAAATTGAAGCTAGCGAACCGAAATACCCCGTTCTTTTAGCGAAATATAAAAGAATAACCTTCTGGATTGCGCATACTATGCTCTATCGATTGCACTACGACGGAAGGCGTTTCCCCGTCCATTTGTTTCAGTATTTCGGTACATGTCATCTTTAGGAGTGTTAGACAGCGCAAGTCCGAGTCCAGGCGGTGAGGGGGGGATGAAATGTCACTGATGGAATGGGTGAAATTTTATCCGTATTAGTTTATCTCGATTTATGACGCAGTGTATGCTACAGTTAAATACAACAATAAATGATTTCTGTGCTAGTCCTGGCCCATTTTCCTGTTTCTACTCGGTTGGTTGTCAACTTGTAGAGCCAAATGTATACAAGTGTTTATGTGTACAGTTGTATAAAAGCGGAGAAAGTGCAACAAAGAACCATTATTAACAGATGATGGACTGTTGCTTGCAGATGGACCAAAGTATGAAAACGTGGAAAAATGAAAACTAATATGGGGTGACCAGGCGCTGCCTCGACTTGCCACGCCGCTACATCTGTTGACTAAAAAAAAAAAGACGACAAACCTGCTACTTGTTTAAAAGTGGCCGTGGTGGTTGCCGGGAAACCCTTGTACAGTATTTTTTTTTTGTAATATAGTGCGTTATTTAGTACCTGTGCTGTTCATTTTTTCGCCTGTGTTACCATGTGTCGCCATGTACATTGTCAATGTCATTAATAAAACGAAAAATGGTGAAACAGTTTGAGTGCACTTCCATCCCGACACTCATGATCAGACACACGGGACCTATAAAGAGGCAGCACGAAGCGATATGCTCTCGAGATAAACCCGCGTGTTTTATACGGTTATTTTTCTTCATCATGAACCACCAATGTGAACTTCTGCACGCTGTCACGGCCCATGGGCTTTCTCTTCTGTGGCAGAAGACGTGAAACACCTCTTGATCTCAGATGTTTTCGTTCTAGGCAATAGGTTGTACGCGCTGGCATCATTGGGGCCGATATGTTGTTGCACAGCCAGCACAGTGAAATGCACGCTTTCTTATCTTGATATGCTTATCTCCACAGCAGATAAGCTACGTAATTTACGACAAGATGACGCATGATGGCATCATGTCAATGTCCCTTATACCTGTTGTCCTCGGCCTCTATCAAAACCCTACCAAAATCGCAAATGGAGCGCAGGAGAATGAACAAGGTGAATCGCTTACATCCACGGTCACCTAAGCAGCATCTTACGCTGCAACGCTTCTTGAATGGACGTCATTTGTTAGAAGGGGAAAAAAAAGACGCGTTAGTAATTATTGCTGCAACATTGTGAAACCTTAGGTTTCTCACTGTCTTGGAAAAATTCATATTTGGCTCAGATTTCTCGGAAGCGTCATTCTTTTCGCCCCGTGTCCTAAGTGTGCGTTGTAGTTACAATCACATGAGCCCCGACAGAAGTTCCCTACTCAAGTTTCCCAAAGTGGTGCCGCAATGCAAATATTGAAGGTTTCTAGTAGGATGTATGTTAACACTGCAATAGTCTGGCAACTAATTATTTCTAGGCGCAGAAAAAAACAACCAGTATGATATAGGCATGTTCTAATTAATTCAGTCATCTCTCTTCTTTGTCTTTTTTTGCAATTAAAGTTTTATTGTAATAGAACATCAATTGGGTCGTTCTCAGTTATATCGGTTGACCAAATAGTTCGTCCGAAAGGTCGCGATGGCAAACCGAATGCAACATGTTTTGGAACACTTGACATTACTCTAAAACGAGGAACTGAGAAAAATATTCAAGCATATTGAGAGGAAGACCACGAAAAATAAATATCCGCATACGAGCAGAGCGCTATTCAAGTAATCTATATTCTTTTACGAAGCATTTTTATCTAGTGCAGCGGGGCTCGTCGTTTTACCGAACGAGCTGTTGGATGTATTGAGTTTGCTTCCACCATGCATGTGCAAGTAATCTATGTAAGATACTCGCATACATACCGACCACCAGAATTTTTTCGCACGTCCCTTTCATCGTGCGCTTTCACCGTTGAGCTGATTGCAAAAGTCAGCGCGCAACCAGAGTAATGCTCAATGCGCACCCACTGGCATAAATTACCGTGCACTCCGCAAAGCCTTTCGTCTAACAGAACAGCTTGGCATTGGCAAACCAATCCTGCTACTCATACATCTTTCAGACAGAGTGGATCAGATGTATAAGAGAACATTCCCCTAAATTTCGTATGCCTTGTTTCGTATGCCTTGGTTTCTCAAAAAAATGAGAGGAACTAATGTTTGCTGCAACATTCATTGGCATGTGTAGAGGGGGGGGGAGGGGATGTGGCAGCACCTTTTTGTCCCCTAAAGGATAGGGTGCAAAGTCAGCCCTATAATTGACATAACAGGGAGACTGCGCTTGAACTCAAACTGAGCCCCGTGTAAAGATTTCACAGGATAACTGTTAAAATTTTGTCTTGGTGCGTACTGATCACGAGAAAAATAGCGCTAACTGAACGGGGACACAAGAAGAATACACACCATCGGCACAGGAAGTTGGAAGTTAGCGTCTGTGTTGTGTGCATTCTTCGTGCAATTTTTCTCGTCACAATAGAAAGGGGGCTGCTGCGAGGAACCTTCGCCGCCCCCCCCCCCCTTCTGAAGGAGAACACACCCATGCTAACATCCACAACCAACGTTTCTGAACGTTCTTCCCAATTGTGACAAAAAGACTTGACGAGAGTGCGTAAAAACGTGCTCACTTACCGTAGTTATGAGATCGACATTTAGTTGATGAAAATGTATTTCCTTGCAGCACTGTTACAGAGATGGCAGCTGCCCTTAACATTCTTGAAATAATTTGATGAAAGTTCATCAAACGTGCAGATAATAAGTACAATGCAAGCCACTAATAAAAGATATTTATTTAATCACTATAGACTTTTCAATTCGATTTTTAAACAATTGTGGTAGTATGAAATAAAAAAAATAAACAAACCGCAAATAATGAAAAGAAGACGTTCAAAAATGTTTTTTTTTTCCTTACTCGCGCTTATTGTGGACTAAATAAAGTTCCTCCTGCATGAGCCGTGAAAACCTGCAGTATGTTAAAGTAAAAAAAAATGTTGTTTCACTGACTTACTGACTTTAGATGAGATCGGTGCTGCAAACTGTCCTAAGCTCTATTCGCGTATGTGCCATGTTTGAGCACCTCGTCATTTTGTCACACTCAGTTTTTAAGTGTTGCTGTTTCACATTACGCGCTTTTTCTTTCGTTTTACAGGGAAGCTGTTCTAGCATATCAAAAATTGTAATCATCACCAAAATCATCATCATTATTAACTGGCATGTGCTCTCTTCATCGTTCACAAGCTTTTTGTCACCTTCTTCGTATGAAAAAAGGGAAAATTTTGGAAAAGTAATTACATGAGGCAGCTGTATTTGAACTCACGTACTTATTATCTGAAGGCAAACGTCTTGATTTCCCCGTTATCCAGGCTTTTTTCTATTCGATTGTACCCCCCGGTTAGGTTAGATCTAACTCTACCCACGTGGGAGCAGCCCGTTGTATCGCCCTAAAAGGCGGCACTCCTCTAGATTTTTAAGTAAAGTTATTTGTACCTTACCATACCCCATGGCTGTCCAGGCCCACTGACATAGCATAGCCTAGTACAGTATAGTACAGCAAGAGGTTACAAAACAGAGGTGAGGGGGAGGAGGGGGAGAGTAAAGCGAACATCGACACAACGAGGAAGGGAGAATAAAAAGAAAAGGAGAACGAGAGAGATGATGAAAAAAAATTCAAATTTTTTACAGAGAACGAGAGAGAGAGAGAGAAAGATAGAAGGAGAAAGCAAACGAGATTTACCGATACAGTAACACAGAGATACGTAAAAAAGGGAAAGAAATATGAAAATACTATGATATAAGCAGAAAATGTAGAAAGAAACGAATAGAAGTAAACAGAGACGCGAAAGACGAAAGGAAAATAAAACAGGGAAATTTAGACAAAGGAAGAAAGGCGGAAAGAAAAAGATAGCTACAAAAAGGCCTCCAAGTCATAGAAAAACACAGAGAAATTCAGATATAGCTTGCCCAGCGAACAGCGACTGGTTCGTGCATCGCTGTGCTAAGCTGAGCCCCTCATATTGAAAACTTGCCGCGCTTTGTATATATGCAATATATTCCATAGAACTAGAATTTTACATTGTCATGGAAGTATACACAGATGATAAATAACTGCCGATTTATACGACTGAAGCTCGCAACCATATAAAACTAAAAACATAGCTAACTAAGCATTACAAAAAAAAATTGGTACATACTCTCCGTGTCTTGCAGCCCCGACTGTGGTTTCAGACATGATGCATGCGGGCGGATTCTACTAACCAATGTTTCGAATAGTACAGGAGCTGCATGCAAAAGGCGTGGTTGCTGTTTACGAGGTTTGAAGTTTTCTCACAGTTGCTAGTTTCAGGCCTTGATTACTGTCATCGTGTGATGTTCTGGCGCCATTCCACAGCCTACAACTCCGTGGACGACCCCTTCATCATATTTCGATTTCGACACACCGACCTCATCTCCCACAAAATGGCCCATGTCAATGACGAGCGTTGTGGCCCTGCTTCAAGATACGCAGACAAATTGTTCTCACGAATCTGAACTCAGAGCCATTTGTATGTTTTGTATTGATACATAACGAGACCGAACGCCCTTAGACATTTATTTGATGTAGTACCTTCTTCCTAGTGTAACTTTACCTCCCATGTATTAGTATATGCCCCGTCGCAGTGGTCAGTGGTCAAGGTACTCGGCTGCTGGCCAGCAGGTCGCGGGATCAAATCCCGGCTGCGGCGGCTGCTTTTCTGATGGAAGCGGAAATGTTGCAGGCCCGTGTGCTCAGATTCGAGTGCACGTTAAAGAACCCCAGGTGGTCGAAATTTCCGGAGCTCTCCGCCACGGCGTCTCTCACAATCATATGTTGGTTTTCGAACGTTAGACCCCACATTTCAATCAATCAATACCATGTATTAGTATTTTTAGCGATGTAGCAGCCGTCTACTGAGCCCGCAAATATTGAATATCATAGCAAGTTGCGCAACGGAAAACTCTCACTTTAAGTTAACCCCAGAAAGATCTGCAGTATGAAGTAGTTAGAACGTTGCAAGACTAACAATTCGTATGTTATCAAAGCTAGAGCTAGAGGGTGTTAAATGGGATATAACAGGGCTCAGTGAGGTTAGGAGGAGAGATGAGGCCTATACTGTGGTACAGAATGGGCACGTCCTTAGCTATCGGGGCTTGGCAGACAGAAGAGAACTGGGAGTGGGGTTCCTAATTCACAGAAACATAGCTGGCAAAATAGAGGATTACTATAGCATTAATGAAAGGGTAATAGGTATTGTAATTAAACTGAATAAAAGATTCAAGATCAAGGTAGTACAGGCTTACGCGCCTACATCCAGCCATGATGACGCTTCAGTTGAAAGCTTCTATAAAGACGTGGAATCGGCAATGAGTAAGGTAAAAACACAGTATACTATAGTGATGGGCGACTTTAATGCAAAGGTAGGGAAGAAGCAGGCTGGAGACCAGGCAGTAGGAGATTATGGCATCGGCACTAAAAACGCCAGAGGAGAGCTACTAGTAGAATTCGCAGAACGCAATAATTTGCGGATTTTGAATACCTTCTACCGAAAATGAGAAAACCGCAAGTGGACATGGAGGAGCCCTAATGGCGAAAATAAGAACGAAATAGACT